AACTCTCACCAAGCCTCAGACTATTGTCTCTCCTCAGCTTGGCTAGAGAATGAATGCCTGTCCCGAATTATTGTCCCCATCTTTGATATACTCTGGAGCTGGGATTACAGGTTTGAGCTATAATTCTCTTTTAGGCTGATTCAATCTTGTGTATAACTGGGTGGCCTTTAACTTACAGAGATCCCTCTATCTTTTAATCCAAAGTTCTAGGATTAAGGGTATATACTACCACCTCCTAGCTTCTGGCTGCTGGTGTATCACCACTGCCTGATCTCTATAGCTTGAGGCTGTTTTTGCTTTACTGAATTCTCAGTCAAGGTTTAATAAATAATAAATAATATGTCACTACATGTGTGTGTGTGTATTTTGTGTGAGAATGTGTATCTGGGCATGAATGTGAGTGTGAAGGTATGTGTTTGACTATGTGTATGAGTTTGTGTGTTTGTATATGTGTTTGTGAGACTGTGTGTCTCTGTCTGTATGTGTATTTGTGTGCATATGTGCAGGTATGAATGAGAAAGTGTATATATCCTTGTGTGTGAGTGTGTGACTTAGGCTGTGTTGTACATGCAACAGATTACCTGCTTATGTGGTGGTCTAATGCAAAATTACAGGAGTAAGTTCTCTATTTCAACCATGGGCTCAAGGAATCAGACTCAATTCATTAACATTGATAAGAAAGCCTTTTTACAGGCAGCCCACAGAATGGGAAAAGATGTTCACTAACCCACATCAGACAGAGAGTTGATTTCCAAAATTTACAAAGAACTCAAGAAGCAAGTCTCCAAAACACCAAAGGATCCAATTAAAAAGTGGGCTACAGAACTAAATAGAGAATTCTCAATAGAGGAATCTAAAATTACTGAGAGGCACTTGAGAAAGTGCTCAACATCCCTAGCCATCAGGGAAATGCAAATCAAAACGACTCTGAGATACTATCTTACTCCTGTAAGAATGGCTAAAATTAAAAACACCAAGGACAATGTGGAGAAAGGGAAACACTCCTACACTTATGGTGGGAGTGCCAACTCGTACAGTCACTTTGGAAATCAGTATGAAGATTCCTCAGAAAAATGGGAGTCAGCCTACCACAAGACCCAGCAATTCCACTCTTAGGCATATATCCAAAAGGTGCAAGTTCATACAACAAGGACATCTGTTCCCCTATGTTCATAGCAGCATTATTTGTAATAGCCAGAACCTGGAAGCAACCTAGATGCCCCTCAACTGAAGAGTGTATAGAGAAAATGTGGTACATTTACAAAATGGACTACTATTCAGCAGAAAAAAAAACCACAATGGAATATTGAAATTTGCAGGCAAATGGATGGAACAAGAAGAAACCATCCTGAGTGAGGTAACCCAGTCACAAAAAGACAAACATGGTGTGTACTCTCTCATATATGGATTTTAGACATAGATCTGGGAAGTGCCAGCCCACAATCCCATGGCCAAAGAGTCTGGAAAATAGAACCTTCATCCAATGACTGATAGAAGCAGAGGCAGACTCCCATAGCTAAACACCGAGCTGAACTCAAGGAACCCAGTGACAGAGAGGGAGGACTGATGAGCAAAGGGGTTAAGACTGGGCTGGTTTAACCTCCAGAAACAGGTGACCTGAACAAGGGGTAGCTCTTGAATCCCAGACTGATGGCTGGGAATCCAGCATGGGACTGATCCAGACCCCCTGAATGTAGGTGTCAGTTAGGAGGCCTAGGCAATCTATGGGGCCTTGGGTAGTAGATGAGTATTTATCCCTGGCATACAAATGGACTTTGGGTGCCCATCCAACAATGAGAGATACACTCTCACCCTGGACTCTTGGGGGAAGGTCTAGGCCCTTCCCTGGATGAAATGACAGACTATGGATATCTCCATGGAGGAAAGGAGGGAGTATTGGGGGGGAGGGCATGGGAGGAGAGGAGGGAAGAGGAGAGGGACCTGGGATTGACATGTGAAGCAACCTTGTTTCCAATTTAAGTTTAAATTTAAAAATTAAAAAAGAAAGCCTTTTTACCCAATCATTCATTAGATAACTAAATAACTGTCATGTTAAAATTTATCTTTTATGTATACTTATATTACAAATTATGCAGGTAATTTGAAGAATTTAAATTTTATCAGTTTAAAGGTTGGAAAATATTAAAGTACTCCTCTACATCAATATATTTCAAGTTAGAAAATTTTAGATCATACCATACATTATGATTTAAATATTTAAATAAATGTCATAATTAAAAAATAATTAATTATGAAATGAAACTCAGTGATTCTTTCAGGAAAATTTAATAGAAAATTTTGTCTTCACAATAAATATGCAATAGTGTATATCTCTGGTATAACAGTTAATGACAATTCTATTTAGAAAACAAAACCAATAAAACAACTTTTTGAGGAAAAAAGTGAAAGCGGAAACAAGAATAAAACCAAAAGTGTTCAAAAAATGCCCAAGCATAAAAGACAATAAATTTAAAAAGTGAAAAAATAATTGGAAAGAATGGGGAGGGCATTTAGAAAATGATATTAGTGTATTCCCTTACTTAAGACACATACTCACAGAATGTCTTTAGAGAACCTAGAAGGGAAGGTTGAGGACCACACAATCCAGAGGACCAACAGCATCTGCAACATCCACAATGTCCAGGCCCTGTGCTTTCCTGATGGCCCTGGTGGTGATGAGCTACTGGTCAACCTGCTGTCTGGGATGTGACCTGCCTCAGACTCATAACCTCAGGAACAAGAGAGCCTTGACAATCCTGACACAAATGAGGAGACTCTCCCCTCTCTCCTGCCTGAAGGACAGAAAGTACTTTGCATTTCCTCTGGAGAAGATGGATGCCCAGCACATGCAGAAGATTCAAGCCATCCCTGTCCTGCAGGAGCTGACCCAGCAGGTCCTGATCCTCTTCAGCTCCAAGGACCCATCTGCTGCTTGGGAGACAGCCCTCCTAGACAAATTCTGCACTGACCTCCACCAGCAGCTCAGTGACCTGCAAGCCTGTCTGATGCAGCAGGTGGGGGAGCAGGACCCTGCCCTGAGCCAGGAAGACTCCCTGGTGGCTGTGAGGAAATACTTCCACAGGATCACTGTGTACCTGAGAGAGAAGAACCACAGCCCCTGTGCCTGGGAGGTGGTCAGAGCAGAAATCTGGAGAGCTCTGTCTTCCTCAGCCAACTTGCTGGCAAGATTGAATGAGGAGAAGGAGTAAGTCCTGAGCAAAGTGGAGAGGACTCTCCTGGACTAGGACACTACATGTCACCTCACCAATTCTGCTCAGATTCTGCGTTCTCCAAGATCTCTTTTATTTTGACATCATTGACTCAATTTCCCTGGATATTTACCATAATACTGGACTATATTCTGTTGATATGTAAAGGCATTAGCTTATTCATTGAAATGTATTAATTATTTATGTACTTATTAGTTTTATGCTTGTTTTACTCTTTACATGATTTATGTTATTTCATTGTAACATGAAATTTTATACTTTGAATTCATCAAACCATTATTTTAATTTATTTCCTCTACTCAATATATTTTAGTACACATTTTTGTCTTATTTGTCAGCCATTCTAGCTTTCAATAAAATTTTGATGCTTTTAACCTCAGTCTATCAACATAAATTTTACAAACTTTTTAAATAAGAGATGATACTGAAAACAAGGTTGCTATATAGTGTTAAGACATGAGCTGATACAACCCTCTCATCATTCTTGATTATTGATGATGAAAATCTCACCTCCCTCCATTATATAGAGCTCCTCAATATGTACAACCAACATGCTGTGTTGGAGGAAGCCATAACATCTTCTTAGGTCACATTGTGCTTTAGTCTTCTTGATCAACTATTCCTAGACTATATCTTCCTTTGATTTCTCTGGCCTCTGATAACTAACATTTGATTCTCAGCTTTTATCAGATTAACTTTTATTAGATTACCAGATTTATCATTTTTTATATATTTTATTTTTAAATTTAAATTAAAAACAAGGCCACTTCACATGTCAGTTCCAGGTCCCTCTCCCTTTCCCTCCCCTCCTCCCACGCCCTCCCACCAACCCCCCAACATCCCCTCTTTTCCCCAGGGAGGGGGAGGCCCTCTATGGGGGTGTCCATAGTCTGTCATTTCATTTATCAGTTTTTATCAGATTAATTTTCATTGATATCATAAGCACTAAAATAAAATATATCACACAAAAACCTGAGGAGGCTACATATATACCGGTGTGAAACATTGAAAAATGGGTTCTCGGTCCTGTCTTGGTGGTGGTTTTGTTGTGTTTAAGTATCATGACCTAAAGCACTTATTGCTTAAATATTATACTACACAAAATAGGGATATCCTAAGATGTTTTATTAAGGGAGAAATCACTTACATGAGAAGCCAAGAAAGTTGAGAACCAAACGTCCTCATGCTGATTTCCGGTACGTGACTGGAATGCAACTAGAACCCAAAAGAGAGTGAGTCTCCTCCCTCTCCCTCTAGCTCTTTTATCCCCCATACATTCTAAGAAATTGTGACAATACCCAAATGGGTGTGGCCAGAGCTATGGGTATATAGATCTCTCCTTACATTTCCTCTTTTAGTCTAAAGAAAAGATTTAGACTTAAAACCAAACTGAATTGTCTCAAGCATATATAAAGCATATATACAAAGAAGATGATAAAGCAATTATAATCTACCTATATCCTATCCTAAACATATCTATCCATCTAAACCCTAAGCTTATATGAAAGAGCTGTCCAAGTCTGACCACCTCCTGCTAATCCCAACCCTAAATAATTGAAAACTAACTCTGACAGGTGTAATGCATTCTCAGATTTACTTCTCACTGAATTGGGACGATGATAACCTTATGGGATCCTGTAGGAAGAAAATGTTAATGTAATGAAATTCTCGAGTGCACTGGCTACAACATTTGTACTCAGTCTCTGTTTGATGGGAGATGCTTGATTGAAGTTGTTGACTGAAGTTCTAATCTTGATTGAAGCTCTTATCTGAGTCTCTGGCCAGGTCATAGAAGGTGCACTGTATCAGTTAATTAGTCTGGAGTTGTGTAGAGTGATATAGTCCCAAACTGTTTTCAAGGTGGTATTTGTCAGTTCAGATGCTTCAAGTTGGATCAGGTGGATCAACTTTAAAGAGTGCTGTTACGAAATTCTTTGTTCTCTGTGGAAAAGTCAAACAATAATGTCAATAAAGAAATGTCAACCTTTACATATATGCATACTGGGAAAGACAACAATAAGAAAGATGGTAAATGTGAGGGAAAATAGACTTTCAGAGAAAGAACCAAGTATAAATAGATGACAGTCCCGAATTTTACTTTAACAACATGTTCAGAATTAGAGGAGGAAAGCCAAATCCAACTCCAAACTGCTTTGGTTTAAGTGAATTGGGACCAAAAGTGTATTAGGAAGTAAAGAGAAACAGATACTATAAGGACAAAGTTAAGAGAATTAGACATTGATACCAAACATTAGATCCTTGTTGGTTTGATGGTCCTTTGGGTAGCCATTCTCTCTTCTTTAGGTATCTGTAAGTTCAGTATCTTTTCGCTGTTTGCTGATGGGTTTTCCTGTGAAAACAAAAACAAAACACTTCATTTTCCTTTTGTGAGGTCTCCTTACACCTCGTTGAATATGACTTTGTGGATGAGCTGTCATCGTTCCTCCTCCCAAGGTTTTACTGTTCAGATCGAATCTTGATCAGTTTTGATGAAATCCAAAGCTTTTCTTCTCCTGCAGAAACAAAGGCAAACCTCCGCCCCAATGTAACACATATCCTGGTTTCCAAACGGAGGTCATTGCTTCCTTTAAATACACTGGCTGATTTAGTTCAGAAGTTTTTTCTGTAGTTCAGTGTCTTTCTGCTGCTATTTGTCCTTTCTCATTTGCATTAAGACACTTTAATGTTAATAAGGCATTATGTAATCTGTATTTGGGGATCTTTGTTTCCCCTGACTGTTTATGGAGCATTTCTTTTAAAGTGTAGTTAGATCTCTCAACCACTGCTTGTCCTGTAGCATTGTATGGTATACCAGTTATTTGTTTTAGTTCATAATATTTGAAAAACTATTCCAATTTGCTAGAGACATATGCTGGAGCATTGTCAGTTTTTATTTGTGCAGGTATACCCATAATGGCCATCACTTCTAAGAGGTGTGTGATAACAGAATCAGCCTTTTCAGAGATGAGAGTGTAGCCCATTGGAACCCTAAAAATGTGTCTATGGTATGGTACACATATATTAAACTTCCAAATTCTGGAAAGTGAAATACATCCATTTGCCAAATTTCATTTCTATGAATACCTTTGAGATTACTGCCTTCTGGTAATGTGGTTTGATTATAGAATGAACAGGTAGGGCAGTTTCTTATTGTTTCCTTGGCTTGTTGCCAAGTGATAGAAAAATTCTTCTTTAAGTCTTTAATATTAGCATGGTGTTTTAATGAAATTCTGAAGCTTTTTAGCACATTTCCTATTAATAAATGATCAATGTCATCATTCCCTTGTGCTAGAGGATCTGCCAGACCTGTATGGGATTTGATGTGTGTTAGATATATAGTTCTATTTATGATAGTGTCCTGCAATTGTATAAACAATAAAGTTAATTCTGTATCATCAGAAATAAATTCAGCAGTCTCAATGTGTAAAATGACTCTCTCTGCATATTGAGAGTCAGCAACTATATTGAGAGGCTCTGTAAAATCCACAAGCATCATGAGAATGGCATAAAACTTTGCCTTTTGTACATAGCTGTAAGGGCTTTGAACCACTTTACTTATATTTGCTGATTTATAATCTGCCTTTCCTGACTTGTTTGCATCAGTGTAGAATGTAGGAACTCCAGAGATTGGCATTTTTCTTACAATATGTGGAAGGATCCAAATTGTTTTTCTTTATGAATTTGATTCTCTCTGTTTTGGGATAATTGTTACTAATCTTTCCCAAAAAGTTACTGAAAGCCCTTTGCCAATATTCATTATCCTTCCATAAAGAGGAAATTTCTTCATTAGTTAAAGATACTATAATCTCTGAAGCCTTAATTTACCTTTTAAAATCAAATCAGAGATCTTTTAGATATATGTCTTCAGTTTTTTATTTTGTTTATATGTTAGAAATATCCATTCTAATGTGATATCTTCCATCTGCATTAATATCCCTGAGGGGTATTCTCTAGATGGTAAAATAAACAGAATACAGTCTAGTTTTAAGTCCACACGGTCCACATGTGCTTCTAGTGTTCTCTTTTCCACCCTTCTAATTCTTTTTCAGTCTCAGCTGGTAATATTCTTGAACTATTTAAGTCCTTGTCTCCTTGTAGGGCCATTTTTAGGTGTTTTAAAAACACCCTTATACTCCTATAATCGTCTGTAGTTGAGAAATCTCTTCTAGTTGTTGTTGAAGATCATTAAGAGTCTGGTAATGATGTACTTTTGTGGTCAATTTTTTGTAGATCTGTTTTATAACCTAAATAATTAATAGAATCTCCTCTTTGTATTTTTTTCTGGGGCAATCTATAATCCTGTACTGCCTCAAACATCTTTTCCAATGTTCCTTGCTTTGAATCAGCCAGCAGAATGTCATCCATATAATGGTAAATTATGGATTGTGGAAATTGTTTGCAAATTATTTCCAAAGTTTTTTGCACATAATACTCGCACAAAGTAGGGCTATTTAATAGTCCCTGTTGCCAAACCTTCCATTGAAATCTTCTAACTGGTTTAGAATTGTTATAGGTAGGCACTGTGAAGGCAAATTTTTCCCTGTTTTTTTCTTGTAAAGTTATAGTGAAGAAACAATCTTTTAGATCAATTACTGTAATTGACCATCCTTTAGGTATTAGAGAAGGTAATGGCATCCCAGGCTGTAGAAAGCCCATAGGCTGAATTATCTTATTGATGGCTCTAAGATCAGTAAGCATCTTCCATTTATCAGACTTCTTTTTGATAACAAAGACAGGAGAATTACATGGATTGGTAGAGTCTTCAATTTGTCCAGCATTTAGCTGTTCCTGAACAAGATTTTCTAAAGCCTCTAGGTTCTCAAAGGTCATAGGTCATTGCCCTACCCAGACAGGTTCATCTGTTATCCATTTTAAGGGTAATTCTTTTGGTTCCTCTGTAGGTTTGGCACTAGCATCCTGTTTCTGTACAGTCTGTATGTTTGGCATCTGTTTTCTGTAGTGCCTTACAATGTTTTTTCTATAACTAAGATCTTGCTTATGATTCATATTTGATACAGGAGGAATGTTAATCTGGGTATTCCATTGTTGCAATAGATCATGACCCCAGAGATTTATAGCTATGTCTGCGACATATGGCCTCAGTTTACCTCTTTGTCCTTATGGCCCCAAACAGCTTTGTTTTACTTGAGATAGGGTTCCAATCCCTAAGAATTGAACATTTAATTTTTGTAGGGGCCATCTGGAGTCCCAAGATTTTTGAGTTATGATGGTGACATCAGTTTCAATGTCTACAATTCTGATAAATACATTATTTTTCATTTTAATTGGCAATTTGGGTCTGTGATCCTATATAGAAGTTTGCTAAAATATTTGTCTTTTGTTTCCTCCAGTTACAATTGATGCATTCCCAGTAGCTAATCTGTCATGCAGAGTGCTATTATTCTTACAATAGGCAGTGAACCTTCTAATTGTCTTGGAGAGATTGTCCACTACAATGACTGGAAATGACTGGACCACTTTTGACATGGGAGCCTTCAAGTAGTCCCTCAAGAAGTTTCCCATTTGTAAAGGGGTACCTTGCTTGTCTGTGGTTAACCTATATTCATTGGTCCATGTCTGCCTTTGCTACATGCCCTACAGAATCCAGAAGGCTGAATCATTCCTAGAAGGAGCATTATTTCTAGGAATGCTTCACCTACAATTCCTACTTAGATGTTCTATTCTACCACAATTGAAGCATCTGGTATTTTGATGTCTTTTTAAACCTCTGGAGATTGCTTTTCCTACTCAAGTTTCTATGTCCTCATGGTTAAAGCATTTGGCATCTTGTTGTCTTGTCCAACATTTAGAAATTGGCTCTCCTATCCACGCTTCTGTATTTTGATCTTTATACACAGCATTAGCTGTATACAAGACCCATTCGTGCTGATTTGAATTTTAATGATCAAAGTACCTGTTTGCATTGTGGATTTGGATTCTCATAAGCCAGCGATTCTATCAGGACTTGCCTAGAATCTAAATCTGTAACCTGTAATTCTACTGCTATGGACAATCTTTCTAAAAATTCAGTGAACCTTTCTCTTGGACACAGGGTTGTGTTTGTCTCTCCTAGTTCATGCACCCTATCTAAAGAATTTAAAGCTGCTGTATCAGCATAAACACCCTCATCAAGAAGCTTATGTTGGGGAGCTTCATAGCCGTTCTTAATCCTTGAATCTCAAAGGCTTTTGCCTCTTCCCTCCATAAAGCTCTCCATTGTATTTGAGATGAATTTTCGAGCACTGCCAAGGCCAATTGACTTCAATCTTTAGGGGTCACTCTATTTGCAATTGCCCATGAGTTCAGGAGCTCCCTGACATAGGGAGAATGAAGACCATAAGAAAGAGTAACTTATTTGATTCCTTTAAGGCCTTCATCTGTATCCATTCCCATTGATAAGCAACAAAGCCATTTGGGTTTTTCAGTCACCGATACTGGGAAAACCATGGAGATAGCATAACAACCTTAGGGAGGTCTTCCTGGTGTCTGAGAGGTATAGGTAAACCTCTGTCATGACATGTTCCTAGTACTTCTGATTCTGATTTCTAAGACCTGCATCCTATTGACCATTGTTTCTCTGAGTGCTTGTACTTCCTGGGTCAAAAATTTTTCTAAGGACTTCACAGAGTCTTTCAGTTTCTTGGGTTATTCATTTATATGTGATTCCAAGCATTTAATATTCTCATCCTTAGATATTATTTGAATGGCATGTAAGTTGCCTTCTGAAAACAGTGTTCTATCTGATAGCCAGTCATTATCCTCAGACATGGAATGAATTGTTTCAGTAAGTTCACCAATCTGATGTTCTATTTTTATAATTTTAAAATTTAAATTAGAAACAAGCTTGTCTCACATGTCAATTCCAGCTCCCTCTCCTCCCCTCCTTCCTTGCCCCTCCATCAGTCCCCCAGGTCCATACCCAATCCCCATACCATTCCCCAGGGAGGGTGAGGTCCTCCATGTGGGATCTTCTGAGTCTGTCATTTCATCCAGGGAAGGGTCTAGGCCCTCCACCATGTGTCCAGGCTGAAAGAGCATCTCTCCACGTGGAATGGGCTCCCAAAGTACATTCATACACCATGGTAAATATTGATTAGGTTGCCGAGGCCTCCTCACTGACACCCACATCCAGGGCGTCTGGATCAGTCCCATGCTGGCCTCTCAGCCATCAGTCTGGGGTCCAAGAGCTCCTCCTTGTCAGGTCAGCTGTCTCTGTGGGTTTCACCAGCCCATTGTTGACCCATTTGCTCATCACTCCTGCCTCTCTGTCAGTCAGTCTTTGAGTTCTATTAATGGAGTCTTAAGACATGGAACGAGTTGTTTCTGTCAGCATCATAATGTCCTCCTGAATGAATTCTATTTTGGCCATTGGGGCAGTAGTTTTAAATTCTAAGTTATCTACTTTGTTAGACATTTCCCCTTTGACCTCAAGATTTTCAATTTTTTTCTTTTATTTACCAATTGGTTGCACAACTTCCCTGCTTTCTGCCCTATGATCAAGCCCTCTCTTCCAGGATGCTTATGAGAATTATGAAGTTAATCTTAGCATTATGCATAAAGATGTTTGGGGCATGGTATAATCCTCTCCCAGGATGCCATTCATGTAATAAGCAATGAAATCCCTAACGTTCTGCATCATACAATTATCTGCCAGCTTAAACTACTGGAATGCAAAACTTACCTTAAATTATCTCTGGTTGAGGAAAGAATTTTTACCAGGTGGCACAGGTGTACCGCCAAACACAGAAGCTCTGTATCTTCAAAGTAAATCTGAACAACTCCAAGCAGCTTCCACGGAAAATTAGCAAGCTGATTTATTAAAAGGGAAGAAGATAGCCGATGCAGATTGCGGGAGTCCGTGGACCTAAGAAGGGAAGTGGACTGCTGAGGGCAAGCAAATGCCGCATGTTGCAGCATTTTGGGATGCTCGCAGCAAGACAGTGGCTTATTGGGCTAGTGCGGTGGGAGTGGTGATTCATGTGTGGGCGGGAGGGCTGGGGAGATGCTTGATCTCTGAGAACGTGGATGGTCTTTGGTGCGGCCGGAGATCAAAGGGGATGCAGTGCTAAGCCGTTTCAAACACAGTAAAGCTTTTGTGAGGCAGTGTGTGTAGCTACTTCCGGGCAGCTCAGCCGGATCCTTTCACTAGGTTCCACTGTGGCTCCAAGGGGACAGTGGTGGGAATGGAGCAGGCAGTGGCCAGAAAACAAAGGAGATAGAACCAGGTCTGGGGAAAGAGAACTACGCTGAGCAGGAGAACCTAACAGAATTGAGAAACCCCCAGTGACTTAGGGGAGACCTCTGGGGCCGCCAAGATGCACAGGGCCCGTCGGCCATGCACCTAGACTGGTAGCTGGCACCCTGTAGGCGGAGGGTGGGGAGGCTGGGTAAACTTACTTCCTGACACCAGATACTGGTAAAATATTATAATACACAAAATAGAGATGTCCTAAGATATTTTATTAAGGGAAAAATCATTTGCATGAGAAGTCAAGAAAGTCGAGAACCAAAGGTCCTCACACCACTCTCTGGGACACAACTGGAACCCAGAAGAGACTGAGTCTCCTCCCCTTGTTCTTTTATCCCCCGTACTTTCTATGTACTTGTGACCACAGCATATTTTGTTAGTGAGAGAAGGCTGGGCAGGATCTTAAACAGGGCGGGAACCTGCTGGCAGGTCCTGATATGGGGTCATGGAGGAGCGTTGTCCACTGCATTGATGGATCATGGTCTGCTCATCCTGATTTCTATGCTCTTCAGGACCAACTGCCTAGGAGTGCGGCCATGCATAGTGAGCTGAGGACTCCTACAGGAGTCACCATGTATGAAAATGATTTCGAGTCATGTCTACAGGGCGATTATTCCCAAAATAAGATAGATCCCTTCTACTCAATGACACTATCTGGTGTCAACTTGACTTTTGAATTACACAAAGAAAACTCCATTCATACTACCCTCAAAAACATACCTTGTAATAAATCTATCAAGGAGCTGATAAACCCCAAAAAGGACACTGCTAATTCCTCTCAATTTTATTTGTTGTTATTTTGTTGTTGTTTTCTTTTTCTTTTTGTTTTTGTTGTTTTCTTTACCTTGAAATGCTTACTGCTGCCAGTTGTGCATGGGTACACTGCCATCTAGTGGAACATGGGAAACTTCAGGGATTCCATTACGGGGGATATTTGAATCTCCCTCTCCCAGCAGCCATCAGTTTCAAATACTGCCTCAGCTAGGAGTGGGATATCCTGACATACTCCTTGCTTTACTGGCATTTTGTCTGTCTTGATTTTACTACAATTTATGCATACAGTCAGAGGTGATATCAACAGGTACATGCAACTAATATATAGTGTCCAAAACGACTGTTGTCTACAGTCATAAAATGTCTTCGTGAGCTCTGCCGTCCTTGCCACCTCTTGTGTAATGATCACTGATTTTTGGGAGCCAAGAAAGCAAGATTATCTTCAGTCACCCATTCTCTGCACATTCCCCACCTGCCAGTGTCTGGGTCCAGTCATCTACTGAGAGAAGAAACTTCTCTGAGGGGAACTGAAATATGCACTTATCCTCTGTGAATTGTAGAGTGTAATGCAAATAATCAGGCATTGTGACACCATGGCCATCATTCTTACTCTTCGCAGTCCTGTTATCTAGCAGCTTCCTGTTTCTATAGGTGTGTTAAGATTGATGCGGTTGGGGAGAATGTTATTGAAGTTTTGACTGGGATTGACTTGACTCTGTAGACCACTTTCAAAGAAAGCACTCCACTTTATGCAATATTATTTCACTTAATGGGGGCACTGAACTTTTTACTTGAACATTGTTAACACTGGTGCTATTGCTTCCCTATTAGGATGAAATCACTTCCTTTCTTTTGCTTTCATTTCAAGTGACTTCATAATTTCAGTTCAATCAAAGCAACATCAGTATGTACTCTCTAGGAAAGTGGAAAAAAGAAGTAAAACACTCAAATGCAGTGAGAATTCGAAACAAATGACATCCACCATGGAGCCAACATCACAATGGAAAAATTAAATGAAAAGCTATATGCATTTGAAGTACTGAAACTCTTTAATCCGACAGAATAACATTTGAAAACTGCCCATTGGAGAAATGGACAAAGACAGGGTGTGTCAGGATCCACTGCTAAAGTAAAACTGGGTGAATATCTGTAGGCCAAATTTCTGGATAACCAATGTCAATCATAGGCAGTGCTGCCAGTGTGTCTTGTGATCTGTATTTCCACCTAAAACCCTTAGGCACAGGAAGAACTCAATGACTAAATATTGATGACAACAATAGTTTTTAGAGGAACAACAAATACATATTACAAATGTTCTTAGGAAAAACTGGAATTTTTGCACATCACTACAGACCACAGAGACTTCTGCTGTTACCATCTTGGTAACTTGACAATCTGATCCATGGAAACTTGGTCACTACTGAAAAACTAAAGTCTTTCTAATGAAGCCACTAAAATCACAGCAGCAAACTTGTAGGATTTATGATGCTGGAAACCAAGCAAACACCACATGTGTGAGTGCTGAAGCCATCAAGATATGGTGAGCACACTCATCGAGCGGGGGACACGAGGAGGGCTGAGGACATTGTGTTACTGTACAGCAGAGAGTATGAGTAGACTTAAACACCACTGGATAAGTCACAGGGCACTTGGATAAATGCCAGCAACTAGAGATCACAGTGTCTAAACTCATGCACACCCAGAAAGAACATGCATTCAGTGTTGCTGTAACTGTTCTGTCCATGAACACTCAGTGCACTAGCTCTGGACAGAAAGAAAGATGTCTACACTGATCCTGACTACGAAGGAAATGTGAAGCACAATCTCATGACCTACAAAACTGGTTCATGTAAGTGTGTGTGTGTGTGTGCGTGTGTGTGGTTCATGTAAGTGTATGTGTATGTGTGTGGGGTTCATGTAAGTGTGTGTGTGTGTGTGTGTGTGTGTGTGTGTGTGTGTGTGTGTGTGTGAATGTGCTGGGATGGTCCTGCCACAGGAAGCATGTAGAGTGAGATGACACATCCAGGAATCAGTTTCCTAATCCCATGATGGGCTCTAGGGATCAACATTATTTTGTCAGCCTTCGTCAGAGAGATATATTGATTCTGCCACAATGACCCTTGGACAATCATTAAATAAACACCTAGTATACACTAAGAACAAAATTTAGTCTCTCATAAAAGTTAGTATTAAACTAAATTAAGACAGCTATATTAAAATAACTTAGCTTTCAAAACTATTTTATTTATTTTACATCCAGATTGCAATTCCCTCCACACCACTCTTCCCAGTCCTTCCTCAACTCCATTCAAAGTCACTCCTATTTCCACTACTCCTCCCTTTGTGCTCAGAAAACAGCAAGCCTCTCATGGATATAAACAGAACGTGGCATAGGACTCATATTTATAACCTTTAATCAACATATATAAGATTTTGACTTATACCATTGCATCAAATATCATTAGGGTACACTTTAAAAAGTGATTTGCAACAAAATTTATTTTACAATTAAAATGAATGCATTAAGGAATAAACAGGATCCACAAAATTCAATTGCATCACAAAACTCAAGAACACTTGAGTACCAATGTTAGATGAAATTTTCCATTCACTACATGTGAGTAATTTCACTATTCAAAGGTATATCTGTTCTACAAAAAACTATGAAAATTTCTTGGAGAAATAAAATATAAAGAACCAATTTTGAGGTGAGCAGTGAAAGTGGAAGCAATAATAGAAACAAAAATAAAAATGGTAGAAAAGAGAGGACAGACACTAGCTGAAAATGACTAAAAGAAAGTAAAAAGTACATGGGAAAGTAAAGACAGGGCATTCAGAAAATGGAAAGTAGCTCTTTCTCTTACTTAAGAAAATGTACACAGCATGGTCTTGAGAGAACACAGAGGGGAAGGTTCAGGACCACACAGTCCAGAGGACCAGCAGCATCTGCC